CGTGTAGTGTTGGGTGTGTGTCTTGGTGTACGTTCCAGGTGGGGGAGATAATGGTGGTGGCTTGTGGTGGATGTTCCAGAGGGAGGCGTGGGACAAGGCGGGTCGTAGTGCACTGTGTCCTGCTCAGTTCACTGACATCATTGGTTGCCAGGAGGTGGGCAGGACGCCGCTCTGCTCCTGGCAACCAATTACATCAGTGAGCTGGGCAGAACACTGACAGAGCATTACAAGTTGCTGTGACGCTTTGGCCGGAAGAGGGGCGGCAGGTATCCCTCCTTCATGTGACCCAGTAAGATGCCGCCTGAGGTGACTGCCTTATTATAGGGACGGCCCTGTTTCCAGCTATCTGGAAGTCACCTTAGAACAAGACTACAGAACACCTCGCACTATGTTATGTAGATTATTGTGTAGTCGTGTCCTAAGACGACAATGCACTAGAGTGCCTGAGCGTTATCACAGTACAAGAGGAAGTGTATCACAGGCAGGATCACCAGGAGAAGAAAACGAAAGGACTGAAGACATGCGATATATATTCCGTGTTTTGTTTTTTGGGATTTTTCGACACTTTAGGGCTATAAATAGAATAGTTTTATTGCACATTGATGTACATTAAGCTAATTACAACGCAGCCATTCCTCATCACAAGCACCTTGCACGGCACCCGCGCCGATCGATGGGAGTGCCGATAACATTAGTGTGGACACCAGAGGGCAGACGGATGGGGGAGTCTTATCTGTCTCCTCAGTCACCGCCGGCCGATAATCCACTTTATCTAACACTCGCCTAATCTATACCACCCGCTGAATGCAGCGATGAGATTACATTCCTACACGCGTGTGCGGCGCCCCTCTCCATTACCGCTATTTATAGATTGTTTTTCCAAAGCAATAAATAAATAAAATAAAAGAAGTGCTTAAGAGGATGCGGCCGTTCCCCAGCGGTTTCCATGGCAGCACTTTACATGGGATGCAGGCTCATTGTTTTGGGAGACGAGGGGCCCTTGTCAGCGCTGCACCTTTTGTAATGAAGACGGTGTCACATCATGAAGTACTGAGAGACTTTAGAGGAGTCATAAGACATGTTTCTTTTGTGTTGTACAGATGCGGGTACTTAGAGGAGTATCAAGACTCTCATGTTTTCCTGCAGTACAGAGAGAGAGAGGGGCTTAGAGGAGTCATAAGACTGATATTTTACTTGTGTGGTGCATACATAGGTAGTAAAGGAAAATCTCCTATTGGGGACACCTGTTCCTAGGGCAGAGGGGATTTCTCTTTATTTCCTGTTCTCTGGGACAACTTTATTTTACTTTTCATTAAAAACCCCAAAGTTATGACCAATATGATGTCACCATTTCCCTACCCTGAGCCTGTGCACGCTTTACCGCTGAACTCCAAAAGGGTATAAAAACCAATGTAGTTATGTGGTCATCTAATATAATACAATTCATCTTTAATTGCAGCTATT